TAGTTATAAACTAGTCGGACGCAGTTAAGTTAACTTCTTGAATTTATTACAAAAACTAAAACAGAAAAGGAATAGATTAATTAAAAATCTATAAAATAACTGCCAACGTTACATTGTACCCCATGATTAAATATTAAAAATAAAGTAAATAACATTAATTAATAGATTACTATAAAACTCCATAAAAAAGAAACACACCAAAAAACTTACCATTTAAATCTCCATCTGAAGATATTATTTTAAAATTCTTTCATATATATTGTTTTCTATTTACATATTCATTTTTATTTATTACATTTCTTCATATACGGAAACACAAACTCAAAATATACGCACACGGAACTTTTTTATATATAAACGCGCACAATTTAAAAAAAATAAATATCTTCTTCTGCAGTTGAAGTATGAAGTTGTACTGCCTGAAATTTGTTATGCTTAATTTTTTTCATAATTTATTTCCTTCCTTAATTTTTTTTTTTTTAATTTTATTTTCATGGCAATATGCCAGAAAAAGACAGAAGGAATTAAGATCAAAGGATTATGTACTAAATGTAAACATTTAATAAAATACCATAATGAAACATTATTTTTTAAATTTATATTCTTCAATAGGCACTTTAGTAGAAAAATTACCTTCTGTGATACCCCTTTAGCTGGCTGATCTGTAACCTAGACCTCAAGTAAAACATTGTATTCTCATCCTGTTATAATAAGGATAGCAGAATTTATTTGAAATCACTTCATGGTATTGAAGATCAGCTTTTAAAGACAGTTATAATTTATCTCAGTTCTTTTAGTATGATACTGGAAATTATTAAAATTGCAAACAAGAAAAAGGTATTTATTTTCCTCAAGGGGAAATGAAACAACTGATTTTTTTTTCTTCTGTTTAGTTAAGTGTATTTATTCTGCTAGCTATTATTCAAAACTTACAACTCTCAACGTTAATCAAAAACCTTTTGAAAAACTGATACTATTATAGGGGCAACATGAGAGTTTTTTTTTAACTTATTCTCTTCCAGAAAGTACTTTTAATCAAGAATTAATTTACATAATAGGCAATTGCCGGATGCATATTGTGCACTACTTCCAGACCTTATATCTCTTTACTGAAAGGTAGTCCTGCTTAGTAAGATCTCACTTGGGGCAAGGACTCATGAGTTTTGTTAATAACTTGAGCTATTGGAAGAACTGAATTTTTAAGCAACTCTTAATTGCCATAAAAGCAGGACAAATAAGATAAATGATTCAAGCAATACCAAGTACAGATAGAACTATTAATTTTATATTATAAATTATGAATTAAAATAAAATTAATTTACATAAACAATCATCATCTGTGTATGTAACATTTATTTCAAATTGATTACTTAGAGCTTATTTAACCCAATTTCGCTTGCTTGTTAGATTTTGTCTTACATTTCAAATATTCATACTTATTATCCTCTTTTCAAATGCCAAAACTTATAACTTATTTATAATAAAAGGAAACTTTTCCATTCTTCTTTAACCCTAATAACTGGTTGCCAGTAACTACTAACCAGTTCGGAATTCCTAATGATGATTATTCCACAACTTCACTCTCTTTTAAGACAAGAAATAACAGATTTACCTCACAAAAATGTTAAAAGTGACAATTGTTTGTTTATTATTTTAACTAATCAATAAAAAAAAAAAATAGATGTTCATTTAATTTTTATGTTTTCTTTATCTTGCATTTAAAAATGCACTAAATGCTTTACTATTTAAAAATGCACTCTCTGCATTATTCTTAATTTTGTTCTGTCTCACTCCGCTGTATGTCTTCTTCAATTCCTTTATCACTAATATCTTAATGTCCTGTTACATTAATTCTCAATCCCTAACATAATATTATAACAAATTTACAGATCATTTTCACCACAATTTTTAACATACTAACGCAGTCTCTAAAGCTTGGCCCAAACATGATATTCTCTCCTTATTCTGTTTCCCAAAACATCAGTCATTTGGTAGATTTCTTATCAGCTTCCTTAGAACCCATCTATTCCCTTTTCTCCATTGATATCATGGTGGAATACCTTTTTTCTAACCTCCTCGATTTCTCTAACCATCGTGATTCTCTTAAAAACCGTATTTTTAGACATCTTGCTCCCTGGATCAATAAAGAATTTCCAAAACCAACGACTGTTCCTGACCAAATACCTCTGAATCATTAAACGCAGTCTTGCTTCCTGAACTTTTACAATTTCTCTCTCCAAAATTAATTTCCTCCAAAGCTTGGGAAAAAAGTCATTGTCCAGCCATTGTACAAAGTTCCTGCTCCTTCATCAGTTTTCGACTTTCCACTTCCATTTCATCAAAGCCACTAGATAGATTAGGTCTGTCTCCTCAATCTAGTTTTCGTTCCCAATATTCCACATAATGTGCCTTGTTAAAGACTGTCCAAGACCTCCAATCCTCCACAGATAAACAGAAAATCTCTATATTGTAGTCCTTTATGACTTTTCAAAAGCTCTTGATTCTGTCTGTCATAATATCTTCCTTTCCAGACTCCAAACCAGCTCATATATAATAGAGTTCTAAAAAGATTTTTCTCCTTTTTATGCCAGCACTCCCAGACAGTTGTTACTCCTAACAAATCACCTAGCTCATCACTTCAAGTAGCACGAGGTATTTTCTTGTATTCCTCAGGACTCCTCCTCCCCGACCCTTTTCTCTAGTTATATTAGTGACCTTCCTGACTCCATCCCTCACTTATCAATAGCTGCCAGCAACTTTCTGAGATGCCAGAGGTTACTCGAAATCTACAAGAGGATATCGACTATATCCACAGATGGGCAGAAATAAATGAAATGAAGCTAAATACCGATAAAACTAAGGCTATCCTTATTGGTTCTAGGCACCTTGTTAGTTCTCTTCATTGCTCTTCTCTACTTTACCTCAATAACCACTCTATCCATTTCCTCCCGACAGTCAAAAAAATAATGAATAACGTTTGATCAGAATCTCTCCTGGAATAACCATATTTCCCAGATTACCGAAAATCTATTACAATCGTTAAGCAATTCCTAAGATTCCATGATTACATTCCTAAAAACATCAGACACTTCCTTGTAATCTCCTTTGTTTTCTTCCACTTCGACTACAGCTGCTTGGTGTATGGAAGGTTGTTTGCAAGGCTGGAGATGAGACTCATAAGATTCATCATTGGGATTCCGAGGAGTTCCTATGTTTTCTGCTTTTACACAGTTGAAGTGGCTCTATCCTACTTCCTGATGGCAATTCTTTCTTGCTGTTTTTCTTTTCTGAATCCTCAGAACCAAAAATCCCAGCTACATTATAGAACTCCTTACTCAATGTTCCTCTATTCACTTTCTTAATACCAGATCTCAACCGGTAGATCTATAAATCCCCTCCCATAAAACTATTTCCTTCAGCAATTGCTTTGCTACCTCTTTTTGTTTACCTTACTTATCTTTATACGCCAAACCATGTACACAAATTCGTTTAAATAATTTCTATTCCACCACCTACTATACATTCAAACTTCCGCAAGCATGTAATTACAATTACTTACCAACAGTTAATTGATAAGAGCCATTTTATTAATGTTTATATTTGTATCATTTCTACGTGCGACAGATGTACATATTTCTTGAACCTTTTTATTATTCTTAGAGGATTCCAGTACCAGAATAAAATTATTTTTCATTTCATTTCATAAAATATGGATAAAATAAACAAAAGATTAATTCATGCAGGAAAATCAATAAATGCCAGGTAGAAAATTTCTCAATAGGGGCAATCATATAATAAAGAAGAAGAATATTTAATAAAAATAAACTGGATTCTGTATTCGGTTTGCTAATTTACATTTTAAACAATAAAATATCTATAAGCCCCAATATCATAGTAAGAGAACTGAGTTAAAAAAAAAAAAAAAAAAAAAGAAATGAAATAATATTTCAACAAATGGTTAATTGATCTAATTATGATGATCTGAGAGGTTTTCAAATTTGATTTATATGATTATAAATGGCTTACAATTATTTTGAAATTGTATTGTGTATAAATACACTATGAAAATAACTGAAAACCAATAAATACATGACGATTAAGAAAAACAATTTCCAGTTATGGTAAATTATACAAGTTACTTTTAACATATCATTAATCTCAATGTAGAAAGCATCTTCTAAAGGTTTATGAAGTATTTTTTTAACAGCGTGCATAAACAGATAGATAGAAAATACCAATGATAGCTACCAAAGAAAGTCCAATTCCAAGAAGGCTTTAGGAAATCAGATGGCAAAATTATCAACAATTTAGGTGTAAATAGTGAGAAGAGTGATGGAAATCTGCATTCAAAAATATAAATATATGCTTTCGCAAAATTAGTTTTAAGGAAATCAGTGGATGAGAAGTTCATCTTAGAAACTTTATTTAAGTATACTTTCTATTGACATTAAAATAAGGTAATTATTCTAATATCATTAAAGGAGACTAAACACTTCCAAAAGGGGAAGAAGCTCATTTAGCATATGAAGAAATGATGAGAAGTCAATCAAGATATAAATGCCAAATTTGCAGGCAATAGTAATGAAACCACATATTTATCCTCAACTTCCTGAATGTAGTTCTAATTCAGATCCTGTGAATCTTTGAGTTTTTACTCCAAAAGAGTTATTTTAAAGATATCAACTCGAGATGGACCTGTTAATATAAAATAGACAGGTCAAGGAAACAAAACTTATGACTGATGTATCATCAGTGAACACAGATAATTTGGCAAGCATTTTGATACCTTGTTCCTTAAAATCTTATAAGACAATGAAACCATGGTTTAGTTTGTGCCTCAGACAAAAAACTATTACAAATGATAGATTACATTTAACTATTACTAATAATATAGATTGTCAATGAAGAAACGTATAGCTGTATCAGCAGAAAACAAAATAAAAAAGAAAGATTCTTTTTCAGTAAGACATTTAATAAAAATGTATAATTTTGTTACTAACCATTCTTCTTCCTTATGAGCCACAAAAAATTCATTCAGCTGTTGTCGCCTAAATTCAAGTTTGTACTCAGCATACTTAGCTATCGCTTCTTCATCAGTTATGTTGTCATCTTGGGACTGAAGAAAAGCTTTAAAAGTCATGATTGGAGGCTGTGTATCCATTTCACCTAACCTGAAATAAAATAAAACTTGCTTTTTAAGAAAAGAGGGAAAATACACTAAAATTTAAGTTAAATTTACCAAATTACATACACAAGAGGTTACTATAACATTTATTTCATGGTGTTCTTTCTCTTAGAAAGTTCATTTAACAACTTAAGTGTCATTGAAAGAACAATTTTTTTTTTTTTTCATTATGAGCCATGGCCTGTAGGACCTAGGTAAAGGTCTAAATGTGGCCCGCAGGCTAAAAAGTTTGGAGACTTCTGTTTTAGAGGAAGCATTTTATAAGCTTGATTAGGATTTTTTATGTCAGTTAACTAAACTTTTATTAATTGTCGGTTGATGGTTGACTGTAGTGAATAATTGAAGAGAAGGATGGTTGAGGTGATTAGTTAAAATAAACTTTTGGTAATTAGTTTTTATCATCTTTATTTTATTTTCATAACCTGAGAGGAGATAAAAGTTGATACTTGACATATAAAGCTCAGATCTTCTCTATTATAAAATGAAGTGGGCTACAGGGAATTCTAATATTAATGAAGTTTTATCATAAGTAATTTAGTTTTTTTATTACTATAAACAGCATAATAACTGTCTATATGAGACCACCAACTATGACATTTCTAGTAAATAAATGCTCTTTTAAAGGGCACCATGTGTCTAACGAATGAGTACTTGCCAACCAATGAATTGCATTGACCACACCAATTAACTAATAATATAATGCAAAATAAAATTAAAATAATATACAGGTATTTATCGTTTGTCAATATTAACTGTCACTCCTCACTCCTTAATTTCACATTTAATACTGGAATAAGAACATGGAAGAAAAAGAAATTTTTTTTGGAAAAAAAAATTCCATATATCCTGCCGGCTGAAGAGGGAAGAGTCCAATAGTAGCCTGGCTCAAGAATTAAACCTAAGTCTTTCAACAATTTTAAAAAATTGCTAATTCATTCGAGACAGCATGCTGAATGTGATGAATCTTTTAAATCCAAAAAACAATGATCTACCAGTGATGAAATCAGTTCTTCTCAATATTCCACTGTCAGAGTTAAGGCAAATTTTACTTAAAAAAGACTAATGAATATATAAAATCAATTCGCAAACCATTAGATGATCCTCAAACTTAATATTTGACAATAAATTTGCAAGGATGGATATAAAGATTCTGCTCCCGACACAATACTGTTAATAATAATAAAAAAAATAATAGCTTTGAAGCTGTTGGCGTTCTCCTTCAGTAAACCAACGAATGAAATTAAGTTTAGCTGACAGTTCATGAAAATTATTATGATGCTAACATATTCAACGCGGTGAAATAAATTTTTTTAAAAAGTTAATGCTCGACCAGATTCTACATTTTAAGATCGGAAAATATGCTAATGGATACTTATTTATAGACAGAATTTATTTATTCATTGACAGTCAAACATGGATGAATATATAACAACAAAGTTTACCCCTTCTAGGCCATCAACTAAAAAGCTCATAACTTAGTTAAAGAAGTTGCACTATATCTAAAAGACAATATTGTGTGGAAAAAATCCACATCACCTATAGCAGCAACAGAAAAAAAAAAAAGTGTATCCATATATTATTGAAAGAAACATCAATTTAGCTGTCTTCTTAATATTCATTAATTGTGCAATTTCCATTAGGTCATTAACATTGTCGTTAAAACGATATCAAACAAAGTGTCCTAATTGGCAATATTTATTTCTAGTATAATTATGACATTTAGGCCTAAACCTATCAACCAAATCTCTACATTTCAAATCGAACTAACAGCCCCTTCTTTTGTAAATGTACTTGCAACAAGCAGAATGCCATACATTTAACAATTAATGTAATATTAAAAATAGATATAATTTTTATATTTACTTGCCTAGGCATAAAATTAATAATTTTCATCTACTATTTTCCACAATACTGGGCTATCTATATCAGTTGTATACTACAAAATGTCACCTTTGCCACCAACAGAATAAAAATGGAAAATTGTTACACGCGACCTTGGACTAAAATGGATGAAACAAAAAATCTATTGGAAAAATTCAACTTTTTGTTATCGAGGCCAATATTTCCCCTCAGTTAGAACAAAACTAATATAAAAATATCATTGAAGTTCACACAACTTTGACGATTAAGAAGGAAATTGAGACCATGCAGAACTGGTTGAATTTAAATAGAAACAAACAAAAACAAATTTAAGACTTTTTGTTTACTAACTAAACTAAGTAAAAATTTATTGAAAATTACATAAAATCTAAGTGAAGGCAGTAAGTGTCATGCCAGTAATGTTTGTAATCGACCAAACAATACAGTATAAATTAACTTTTTGAATAAAACCTAAAATATTATAACCTCATAAAAATATTGTATTAACCAAACCCCTATTCCATGTGATCAATGCCTTCCACATTTCACAGCCATTCTATATATTATTTCTAAAAGGTGATTTTGTCTGTACGCAATAACTTAGTAAATTCTCCATCAAATTAAATGACTGACCACTCAGAGATATTTTTCTCCTTCACATGTGAAAAATAGTCCTATCCTCCATAAATTTCTGGAAAAAACGTAATGAAAGAAAAGAAACTTTATTTGCGAATAACTAAAAAGTACGCATTTTTTTTTTTCCAGGATTGTAGCCATGATAATTAGAAAGATTATTAAATTACCTACAAAAAAAACCCAACAATTACGAACCAAGATACAATCCATTAGTTTTGGTATACTTAATAATTTCTTCCCCTTTAAAGATATTACATTTACTTTTATCCTGGCTGATGTATTAACTTTATTATTTCTTTAAGGCATTAATTTGTTCTTGCATTATATTTTTTTTAATAATTCAGAAAATCCCACGATCAAGGTTTTATTTTCTCTTACCTTTCCAGTCGGTGTTTAAAAATAGGTCCTAGCAAAGCAATTTGTACAAATATTTTGGTTTATTATGTTAAATGGAATATTGTAATCTACCAAGGAAAAAAATATTTAATCCCTTCCTTACATAGTACATAGGATCTACTTATTTCCATACTGTTTTGCTATTTCTTCACTAAACAAAACCTTCTGCGAATTATTCGCACAGGCCAACTACTTATATGAAATTGGTACTAGACAATTTCTGAACTATTCTCCAAATTTCCTCCAAGTCTGGGTCAAATTCAACAAGCAGTTTTCAAACTATAGGTGTATCAAATAATACATTTACTGATCTGAAAGTGGAAGTCTTTTATTTGAGAATAGTGGATAGAATTAGATGAAATTGATACTTACCCAATTATCTGTTAACCAATTCCTAACTAACTTCCCTCCAAATTTCAGCCAAATTGAACTAGTGGTTTCAGAGATATAGATGTATCAAGGAAAACGCATTTGCGCGTATCATTATTTAACAAACATACATATACAGAATCATTATTTTACCTACAACCCATCTTTCTTTCAACTTTGAGCCAAATAGAACGAATAGAATTATCTAAGAAAACTAATTTAAGTGGAAGTGCTGGAATTCAATAAAATTGATATGGGAGCATCTAGGTCTCACACAATCTCTGAAAATTTCATGAAAATCGGTTGAATGGTAGTAGATGTTATGGCCATTACATGGATTTCACTACATAGTGTATACGCCTACTCTATGTGCCGAGGAGCATCGGTTGGAAGAGTTCCTAGCGTTAGCCTTAACCAGCCTCCAACCTAACTCCTCGGCCTCGGTAAGACCAAGAGTATGCGGGCACACAACCGGTGCCCAAGGAACAGACAGCACCCTACTACCATAACTTCCGTCCACTCGTCTGCACACTATACCAGATGACTAGCCTGAACAACGTCAAGACTAGCTGAACACTGGTTTCGTGCAGCGAGTAGTCATAAACACAACAACCACTACGACCGCCACGGCCGAACAGTGCAAGCACTCTCGCCGTCAACCCAAAGCGCCGCCAGAGCTCCGCCGACCTCAAGCACGATTGGTCTCAGGCTCTGCAATCTTACGATCGCTACGGCTTTACATAGACTGCCGATGTACAGGAGGATGCCTGCACCTCTGCAGTCGATGAGGGACACGACTCAAACCAGAGGGTTCGAGACGATGACCGTCCCCAGGGATTTCACTACAGACAGAAACCGAACCAAATTTGATCCTTGATGTCTGAAACATAAAATGTGAGTAGATATTTTCGATTCTTGCACATTTTTTTTAACCTCTTGCATGAATACTGCTTCCCTACCTTCGGTAGTGAGGAAGCAAAAATATAAAATATAAAATTAAATTAATTTACCTTGAATTTCCTGGATAGGGTGGTTCAGGTCCCCAACTGTTGTATGGACCATACCCAGGATCATTATACCTCATCCTCCTAATATCATCCCTAAAATAAATAGATTAAATCATTAACTTATGCTTAACAGATATATAAAACAATAAAACTAATTTAACCAAATTCTGTACTATACTGACAATACTAGTACAATCTCCTTTTATTTAGAATAAATTAAAAACATTAATTTAAAATGTTCTACATAAATTTTAACACCACCTTACTTAATTCTCACAAGTACACAAGAGGTGTTAAAAAATTGCTTAATTTCTTCCTTTCTATCAGTTATAGTATATTTGAAACTCGAAAACTAATATATGGACTGCTGCTAACCACATCCTGCTTTATATCTTGAGGACGATTGATCGCATGAAAGAAATGAATAAATTGAAAGAAATGAACAAAGTTTACACATTATAATTAGAGAACAATTGATTGTACAAAAGAATAAAATGAATAAGTTCAAACTTAAAATTATCACTTGATATGAAGATAATTACAAATTTCATTATGACATCTAGTGAAGTGGGAACCACAGAAAATGAGATAATAACAAAAAACTAATAATTGTCACATTTTCAAACCTTTAACCTTTAATAAAATTGAGGTGATAACACAAGACTTTTTGGCCAACAATGAGAAAGCGAAAATAAAGGTTCATATTAGTTTTCAGTTTTACATCATTTATTCCGATATTGAACCCTTATGTGATTGGGCTATAACCATTTGGTATAACATTTGACATTTTAAATACTCTAATACACAATACTGGAAATCTTTTTATTTCACATCACTCTGTTGTGCCTATCAGCACAGGGGAGCATTTAATCAGGATTGCAGTAATCTTTGTTTCACGCTAGGTTCCTAGCTTGACAGAGATATTTTATACTGGAAGTCTTGTAATAAAATTGGAAAATTATAAGATTTCTAAGAATAATATATTAGAAATCAGCATCTTTTCAAACACAAAATGTTTTGATATACAAATATTTTAAAAAACAAATTGTCTCTATTGGCACAGAAACAGTCTCTTGATAAATAGTTTTAAAAATATCATAAGAAAAAAAATTCAATCATGGAAAATTTATGATGGCTAATCTTGTCAACACCAATGATTCTGAATCCTAACTTGCTGTGAGTTCGCTACTCACACTTGCATAAATTTCCCAACATTTTGGGTACTTCAGGATACTAGTACTAAAGATGTCTGGATCAATTAAACATGATTTACATAAAAATTGAATTAATAGGAACATTATCACTGTATATTTAATGCGATATATTGTTTTGTTTGGTAATACTATAACAGAATGACTGAATGATGGGCCAAAAATATGTTTGCAGAACGCAGAACTGTCTTTTGACAGATTAGGTTAGGCTAAATTACCAATAACAACAAATAACTAATCAACAAATCTGTAAGGAGTAAGGTATACCTAAATACTAAACAATAAAATATAATTAGAAACGTTAAAGAAAGTATATAAAAATATTATTTAATAATGTTTCTGAAATGAAAACTGACTATATTAATGCGTCTTTTTTTTAAAAAACATATTTTGGTAATTATTACAAGAAACACATACATAAACTTCCATTTAATTAAAGTATATAGAATTAATGATTGGTACTACTTTATAAGTGTTGCTTCACTTTGATGGCTGAGCACAAGATCTCATGATCAGACAACAAATGGAATTCTGAGAATGGTCCAGTACTGAATGCCTGTACAGGCCTAACTTCTCTTTAATTAAAGTGGAACAACACTTGGAAATAGTACTTTGGTGATTTTAATTATGGTATTCCTGTAATATTGATTATATTATTTATTAAATTTGTTTGGTGCATTATTAAGTTAGTTTTTAAAAAGTTTTAAGGACCAAGTTCATTCTTTACTTTAATCACTAATATTTAAATTTACTTCCTTGTTTTATAATTACCATTAATGACAGAAACATAAAAACTGTGTTTTTTAAAATATTCAGCGTGTAATATACACAGTCTCAAGAAGGGTGGAAGTTAATGTTAATGAAAACATAAGTGTGTTTACTTTTGGTATTTGGCTCATGATATAACTAATATACAGGATATTTGTTTATACAGTTATTTATTTGTAATCATAGGAATTTAAAAATACTGTTTTTTTCCATATCATTAGAGGAATACTGGGATCGATGTGATCTTAATCCACTTGTCCTTTATATGTGACACAACTATAATATTACCCAACTTTTGCCTAAGCAATTTACTACTATAGTGGATTTAATAACCTCACCTTATTTGAAAATAACAATAATTATTTTAGTAATATAAATACTTACGAGTCATATCTCATCCGCTTGGTTGGTGGCAAATCACCTTGGTACTGGTACCTATCGCGATAATCATTCCTCATCCTAGGTCTTCCCCAGTCACTAAAAGAGTAAATATTACAATATTGATGTACACATTAATTATCAAATATTAAGTTTTATACAATGGATTATCTTATACAGGACAAGATTATAATTTACCAAAAAAGAATGATACTATCAACTTGAAACAAATATTATTGTACTAAGAAAAAACAACTAGTCTGTATTATATACTCTATTAATGTTACAGAAGGATGTTAAAACACAAATAAAAAAAACAACAAGAAGTATATTGGATACAATACATCAGGTAAATTGAGGACATAATGTATCATGCTGAAATACAAAAATTCAAGTGAAAATAAGAAGCATAATGCATTGGTTGAACCTGTGAAACTAGATAATAAATATGTGAAAGGAAAATAGACATTTACCAACTAGACTAAAGCAGATTAGAAGGAATATGTTGAGCTATGTGTCAAAGTAAAAAAAAAAAACACAACTGGAATGCAATTAAATGAAATGCAGTTTTGTAAAAAATGAATTGAATAACAAGACAAAGTAAAATAATTCTTGAATGATAAATTAAAACATTAAATAGATTTTAATACACTTACTCGTCTTTGCGTTTATCAGTCCTATATGAATCACTCCGTTCACCTTGGAATTTATCTCGTCTTTTTTTGTCATATTCGTCTTCACTGTCTCCCATAATGAATTGTACTTTCTATTTACAAAAAGCAACTGTGTGTTACCGACACTTCTAATGAAACGCCTACCAAGAATCGTCCAATGTAAACTATGACTAGTACACTGCCTCCTTAAGCAGGCTTTGCATGATTGAAACGTCTACAAGCACCAGCTGAGTGATGAAATATCCTTTGACATCAAAAGGAATTTTTTTAAGATTTATGCATTAAATTATATTTAGAATATATTTTTGTTGAAAAAAAAAATTTTAAAATAATGAATCTGTATACTCATTATGACATAAAAGTTAAATCTTTCTATTAAAAAGTTCAATACACTAAACTATCGATACCGGCAAATATTAATTTTCCCGGGTTTACAAAGTTTATTTATTTGTGGCCATGGCTGGATGAAAAAAACAAACTTAGACGGTTGGTATCTATCAATATATTCAGACGAATATGATTTTCTACCTCACTTCATAGTTTTCACCAAATAATTTAAAAGGTAAATGTTTTGTACATTCTTAAGATGTATACTGACTTTTTACGGTATTAGAAATTATTTAAATTAACATTTAGACAGGCATTTTAAATAATTCATAATTATTTAAAATAAAATATTCAATCCCGCAGAATTAGACAAACTATAACTGAATCGATTATTTCAAATAAAGTACTTGTTTTTTTTATCGAATTTTAGTTGGAATTTGTTCTGGATATCTTGTTTGTAGAAACTTTTTATATTTGCAAGAAAACAATTTACATAAATAGAGTGAAGATTATTTGTAATGCTATATATCGACAGGAACACTGCAAAACCCTGTAAGGGATTTTTTTTTAGAAAATTGGGTTTTTGAGCTTTTCTGCTCAATCTAACCCTGGTGCATATTGCAATCTCAAAATTAAATTTACAATGTTTCATTTCTTCTCTATGGGCTCGTGTTGAAACATGTAAATTAAAGTCTGCAAATCGTGATGTAAAAATATGTAGGTTACAGTTCAGGTTATAGAGATTATCTAGTTAATCAAAAAACAGTGAAATGCTCGATGAAAAGTGTTAATACTAATGCATATATAAATATAAAATATAAATACATATATAAAGCGTTTCTAGATAGACTACAGTACCAAAAATAATTATTGGATTGACTTCGATTTAATGATATAATTATTACCAGGAATTGAGTGTAATAAAGAAAGCACTGGGGAGTATAAATTACATTAGTTTACGATCGACTTTAATCTCATTCATACTTCTGTTTATGATTAATTATTTATCAAATTATGGATTTGGGAATTGGTGTAATGTCTGTATCAAGTACTTAGGAGATTAGTCAGATCCAGTATTAATTGATAATAGATGCCTACGAAGTTGACTCCTTTTTCCGAGATTAACAGTAATGAAACTAAAGAAAGTCCGTTTCTTTTTTCCTTTAACATTGTTAATTATTAGCTTTATTTATAAATTAACTACAATTAATTATTCTCATACGCTTTGTATTTTTATTAATTTCTAAAGTTGTGGGTACTTCGGCAAGTGCACATCCGACGCCGCCCTTGGGCAATGGCCGGGTTGCCCTGCCCTGAGGCCAGCACTGCTTATCATGAAACTAGATGATGCAAAAAAGGTTTTGTGAGGCGAAAAGGAAAAAAATAGTGTCGAAAACCAAATTATAACGAGTTTTATTGAAGATATGGATTAAAATATCAGAAACTAAAAATCGGACCGGCACACAGTGGGGCGAGTAAGCGAAAATAAGCGACATTAATTAAAAGTTTTTTATTCTTAAGAAATCCAAAAACTAGATAAACTGTTTAATTAATACCTTCTGGAATTCGTGCGAATATTTTCAGTTGGAAAATTTTCGGTTTTCACTGTTTTTATTGATTAGTTTAATTGAGAACCTAGCCATTCTGTGGAATTTCGCGCGGTTTGTAGGTTTTTTAAAATTGCTGGGTTTGAGCTGATGGTCCATAATTTTACTTGAAACTTTACCAACCTTTTACTGTCTTTCTGCTTAGCTAGAACAAAAATATAATATTGTATAAAACTCGTTTTACTTCGAATCGTTTTCCTATTTCGTCAACAAAAATTGGTGTTTTTAAATCAAAATTTTACAAAGACTGCGATTTGAAAAAATTTCCGATATCCTCCGGAAAATTGAGTTCTTATTACTTTTTAGGAGTCATTATTAAAGAGAAATTCTTATTAATTTTAACCGTCGTGAGGTAGTTAAAAAATATTTAAAATTATTTTTGAATGTATGAATATCCGAACAATTCCTAGATATGTACTAATATCTTCTATAACTTGGTATACTCTCAAATTTAGTTTTAACAATTGTATTTAACATAAAGAAAATAAGATTTTGTAGTTATTTGTTTCGAAAAATACCTCAAACCAAAATAAAAAACCAAAAAAATTACTTTAAATATTAACTGTTTGTTTTAAAATTTTTATTTTTCTCCCTAGATAAGAAATAAACGCTTATATTATTCTTGTAACTGTATATAAACATCGTTTATTTTCGCATAAAAAACAGATACAATATCCCCAAAAAAGTATATACTTTTTGAGTTATTCGGAATTTAATTTTACCATCGCTCGTAACTTTTTTTCCAGCTTCTTTTCGTTGAAGTGTGTTATATAGATTAATTTAAAGGGTGTCGGGAAAATGACTTTAGCGAAGTTTCATTGAAATCGGTACATCCGTTTAGACGCTACAGTCTATAGCAACGTAGGTTTTTCTGCTTTTCTTTTTCTTTCTCCTCTATTAAGTTATCAAATTCTTTCAAAAGTTATATTTAGCATTTTTTTCATTACTTTGAATAATGTGAAATGATTAACTTTTTAAAATAAACCATATTTAAGGTACTTTAGAGGAAGACGTAGATGAACATTGGACATTTAAGCCCCGTAAAGTGACATCAATGGGGGTAAGACCTAATTGATATTAAAGACCACTTAATTATACAATGATGCACCGAGTTTAATCAAAATCGTTAGAGCCGTTTTTGAGAAAATTGTGAAAATGTGTTTCAGCGTTGATATAAAGTGGCACTTCCGGTTAGCCGATTTTAAGGAAAAAGTTGCCGTCACATCTAAGGCATATACCTATCTTAAATACGTAATATCAGTTTCGTAGGACTTTTCGTTTTTGAGCTAGACTGCTAACATACAAACACACAGACACACAGACCATTTTTCGGGACTTGGTCATTTCGACTCAGGGTACCTCAAAACGTCTATTTCCGTTAAAAACTGAGATTCAAAAATTTTCTCGATCGCAATACTTACACTTACTATATATTACATATATACGTAAGTGAAAGTAAAAAAATCTGGTACGCGCAACACACAACTTCCACTCTCCGCTCTACTTGAATATAAATTATTTTCTGACAATGTTTGACTTTTATAAAATTTTTGAAGTGCATTTTTAACCGAGCTTAAGGTTATAGCTTACATTGAATATTTAATAGTTGACCGTTGCATTATAAAGGAAGGAGATGGTCCGGGGTGGCGGTCATTAATAGACTAAATAGTGGCAAAACTATTTTGTTAAAAGCCAACGTTTTACCGGATACCTTTCTTTATTCTAATTGTAATAGCTCCTATATTGGTGAAACCAAAAACCATCACAAAACCAGCATTTTCCAACATAAAACATCCATAACTTCCCGGAACCCTTCCGCCTCCAAACTATTAGAACATGCCTTAATCCTCAACCATTCGTTTGATTTTGAAAAAAACCTCTATTCTTCCCAAGGTCCCTAACCATGAAAAAAGACTCATTTCCGAATCCATCCACATTCACATGGAACAGAATCCTGTCAATCATAAAGTAGATAAAAACTGCATTTTCTTAACACATAGACACATTTTAAATCTTTTAAGTGAAAAATAACTTATATATTACACCCTATTATTTTTATCTACTTTCAATTTTTATTAATTAATTCAATTTAAGTGTTCATTATTCTAAGTATTTCCGGTTTTTAAGATCTCTCTTTTATTTAATTTTAATTTTATATTTACATTCTGCATCAATGTATTATATCAGTTTTGACTTTGTATTCATTTTACTTTTTAACCATGTCTCAATATATATCTAATATTTAAATGTAATTTTCTTACATATGTACAACCAAATATAATTATAATTATTAATTTTTTCCCCCTCTCTATGCTTCTAAGTTAGTTTTGCAATGTATGATGTCTTATTTCTATATTTATATTTTACTTCCATGTACTTTTTACTTCTTCCATTTTTATTTTTACTCATATTGTACTCTTATCTATTATCTCTTAATTCTATTTTATTTGTATATGTATTTATTTATAATTTAATATTTCATAGATATAGTATTTTTTCCCTTGCATCCATCCATATCTTTAAACTTTAGATACTGTAATTTTCTAGGTTTTCCCCCATTACCCAAACAAGTCATTAAATTCCCCAATACCTGTCCTTACCCTGGTTTTCCAGTTCTAAGTGAAACTCCTAGCTGAACACACCTGTAAGTCTCTAATTTTATTTACTTATATTATTTATTATTTACTTACATTGTTTATAATTTTTTGTCTAAATATTATGTAACTTCCACAATACACTATCTTTTTGTATCTTGTCCGTTCAAGCCCTGAAGATGACCTGCAAAGTCGGGTCGAAACTTTGTCTTTTAATTAAATAGTTTTGCCACTATTTAGCCTATTTATGACCGCCACCCCGGACCATCTCCTGTTATAGCTTACAGTTAACAAATTATTAATAACATTAAAATAACAACAACCCTATTTATTATATCAACGGTTGATTATGGATTGTACGTCTATTAGTTAGTAAGCTGTTATTTTCCATTGCAAAGTTTACTAAAATAGAATTACGAGATTTGCATTGCCTGTCGTAGATAGGAAAAAAGTTGTCACACTAATTGTAAGTGGATACTGTTGGAATATCTCAAAGGGAAAATTCATCAAATTATTCACTAATTTAATTTTCTAAAAGTTTACATGATGATTTTTCGGAATAAACGGACGTTAGATGCCTACTTATTTAAATATAATATCAGATCTTCAGTTATTGAACTACAGTAAATGTATTTAATGGGGCGAAGCATTATCGGCGACACTGTTCAACTTAGTCTTACGTTCGGCAGTTAAAGATACGATCAAAGCGGTAACTCT